ACCTGAATTTTGAGTGGAGCGGTTTTCTGGAAAATTCACTTCAGAAAGTTTCTTTTGAAATTTTGGTCTACAATGTATTCGATAGAGAACTTCAAGAGCTATCTAAATCACTATTTAGATTTCATCTAACTATCTATCTTCACTGAAAAAACTCAAAAATAAAAGGGGATCAATAATTTTGTTACACCCTGTATCTTGATTAGTACCAGTAACAAGATTAAATAATTTTGAACATAATTGATCTTGTTGACATTTCGATAAATATAAATAAAGTCGATTATTTAAATTTTTAAATTGATTCTCAAATATATCTGAATGTTTTATTGACATAATTCCATCAAGAATAATTCAATCGATTACTTGAATTTGAGAATTAATTGATTGAATTGTTAGATAAGTTTCAATAATATCACTTCCTAATTTTTTTTTTTGAATAAATCCAATGACTCAATTAATATTTGCAAGTATTATCAACAAAAGAGATTCTGATCACTAAACATTTTGTTGACAAAATCTACTTTAAATTTTTCGTATTTTAAGACATTATCTCAAAAACTGAATGAGGAACAAATTGAAAGTCAATGAAAATCTCAATGTTTACAGTGTTCAATTATTTGTTCACGTTCAAGTTAAATTGATCATTTTTAAATGGTGCATCGAATTCATACTTTAAATATTTATATGAAAATTTATATTCGAAAAAGTTCGAATTTGTTTTCTTTTTTCGAATGAAAAAGATTATTATGCATCTATTTATTGTTTTAAACATTTTTTATACAAATAAGGCCATCCTAAAAAGTCAATCTGGTGTCATTTCAGGAAAAAAGAAGTGATTTAAGACGATCTAAAAGATCCCAAATGGTTTCTCAATTGCACTTAAAAATAAAAAAGATTTTATTGTTGTCTTTAGAATCTGATATTGTTCAAGATCGAAATTGAAAATGATTGGTATTTTGTTTGTCCATACGTCAGTAAATAGTGTTTCTTATACGGCGAAGACCGAACATCTAACTATCATCTAAAATAAATTTTGTCTATGAAAAGTGAATAGTCAAAACATGAATAATATATATTGCAATGAGATGTTTTGTATTTTCTCAAAGTATGTTAGATTTAAATTTCAATTACCCTGACTCAATCCATAAATATAAGTTGATGTTGGAATTGTCGGTTGTGATTGATTTATTGAATATTGAATTTGATATTGTAAATCTTGTGCAATATTTGCATTTGTCATTGCATGTATTATACTCAATGATTGATTAGGTGAATGTGGAACTGTTGTGTCAATTAATTCTTTAGCACAATCAGTCCAATTTGTTGCTGTATAACAATGAATCGATGGTTTACTCATTCCTGCTCCTCCCCTAGAGAATATACTGAGTTAAGGGTACCCAAAAAAGTACCCTGATATCAGTATGTCACAGGAACTTTTGGGTACCAAAGTACTTGCCGGTACTTACAGGTACATAAGTGGTACTTTGGCAAGTACCCTGCAGGAAAATGCACAGTAATTGGGTACCTAAAGGTACTGATCAAGTACTGAATTGGGTACCATTGTATAGTATTTCTAAGTAAACCCCTCCCCATAATAGAAGCCCCTCCCATATTAGAAGCCCCCCCTTATTAGAAGCCCCCTCTGAGATGAACAACGTGTTTGACGTATTAGAAGCCCCCTAATTTTTCGAAAAAATTTTAAAATTTTCAAGATTTTTTTTCTCATTTTCATGCTAAAACTGCTAAAATTTTTCGATTTTCAGGTAAAAAGTTGGCTGACTCTTATCTAGCTTAGCTAACATCTGAAAATAATGTCAAAAATCTTCTGGAAAACTCATAAAAACCTTGAAAGTCGCCAAAAACCCTTGCGAACCCTTTTTCCTGGCAGTTTACGAAATTTTTTTGAGACTTAATAGAAGCCCCCTCCAGAAGCTTCATATGATAGACATATTAGAAGCCCCCCCGGGGGCTTCTAATATGGGGAGGGGTTTACCCTGTTACCAAATTTTCAATATGTTCAGGATCGAACCTGATCTTTGACTTTTTAAAATTTTTTCTTTTTCTTGAGATAATTTACTAGATTTTTTTTTACTTTATTCAATTTAATTTTTTCAATTCCAAAAGCTTAGCAGGAACAATGTCGGGATCCGACTCAACTTGAGTTGGTCGTAGACCACTTCAGGGTAGTCCGATCTTAATTTACGACCAAGCTCGGCATTTCCTCGACTAAGAAATAGTCAAGAAATAATTTAGAAAAAACTAGTATGAAAATTGATTATTTTCTTATGATTTATCGAGTTGTTTATATAGAGCCGTACGTAAAAAAGAAAACGGTGAATGAATAGTCGCCACACAGAACGCGAAAAATTTAGGATACCCTGTGGAGATTTCCTCAGTAAAGTTACAGACTTGTGTATCCATGCAGGTACTTATTCAGTGAATGTACTTTTACGGGTACCCCAAACAGTACATACATCAGTAAAATTACTGAGAATTTTCAAACTACCCATATTGGGTACCCTGCTAGAGCTTTCTCAGTACACGGGTACTCTGAACTCAGTACTTTCTCTAGGGTCTATATTGAAATAGATACATTATTGGATGTGCATTAGAATATATCTTATGATAATTATTTAAAATAATTTCTTCTAACATAGATACTCCAAATTTTTCCATAGCAAATTGTGAACCACCATCACCACCATTAATAAGCCAATAATTAATAATATGTTTCGTAGATGAATCATTTTCTGGTGGAAGTGAAGATAAAAATAAACGTTTCATATGTAAATCTGTCAATGGAATTTGTTTTGTTGAATTATAATATTGACCGTTGAATATATTTGGATTAAATTGATTCCATTCGAGTGGACTTGTTAAATACATACATTCAGCTTTCATTGTCAAATTTTCTGATATAGTTTTAATAAATGATCCATCGTGGAAAGAACATGAATACCAACCTATTGTTATTGAGCATAAGTTTAAAATCAAGAGTAATTGTTTATTCATTTTAGATAATATTTATTATTCTCAATCTATTTGTGTAAAACGAAAATTAATGAAGAATTTCGTATATTTAATGTTAGTCTGTGTCAACTGATTTCTCTCTTCAAACAAACTCTAGCACTAGTAAAAGATAATAATCGACTCACACATTTATCTTTATGAATTTCGCAGATGACCAACCAAGAGAAGAGAGAAGAAACGGAGGTAGTAGGTAAAAGATATCGCCATTATCGATTATTTTATAAAATGAGATTGAAATAAAGATGTGTACTGCAATTTCATACACCAAATATTTGTCGAACAGTCATCTGAGAGAAAGTTTTTTTTTCTAAATATCTCTCTTTTTTCTTACTCTATAAATATTTAATGCTCGATTTTACGTCGAATCAATGAACAAAGGTCAAGGTTTTTGTTTTTCGTTCTTATTGAAAAATAATAATGTCTTTTCATTAAAGGGTGTTTCATAATAACTGACGATAGATTGTTAATGATATTTTTCATACATTTTCTTGACATAGAGTGCTGAAATTTTTATGACATACATATCTAATCAAGATCTTGTATACCTGAAAATTTCAGCTTTCTAGCTAAACCTAGTAGTGAAATGCAGCGACAAGATTGAAATACGTAAATTTTCGTACTCAGTATTGCAGGGTAGTTCTACAAGTAGTTAACTAAAAAATCAAAAAGTATTCAGAAAATTTTCTTTCGTACCAGAATTTGTAGAGCTTTTTGTGTACTTAAAAAGTGAGTACACTCTAGAATCGGTCAGTGTGTCCGTCTGGCCGTTAACACGATAACTTTTGAAAGGAGAGTCCGATCGCGATGAAATTTTCTACACAGTTTAGTCTTTACAAAATCTCGGTCGAGTTCGAAGATGAGAATGATTGGCCGAGCCATTGCTGAGTTATTGCAAAAATAGTCATTTTTCCCTATGAGAAGATAGACCCTTCTCTGCTTTCATAAAAAACTTTTCCTATCATAGTCATATAAACCCCCAACTATTATATATCATTCGATAGAGAATTTCACGAGCTACACAATGGTATATAAAACATAAAGAAACAAGAAAGCTAACTCGCCTATTGCAAAGATAATTAATCGGAATTCGGTTCTGTTTTTGTCCACGCTCTACACTGTAAAAAAAAAAAGGTACTTTACGAAACCAAAAAAGGTTCGGCCCGCGGGCACAGCGTCGAAACCTTTCTTGGTTTCGCAAAAGGAAGGTTTCGTACGAAACTTTTTCCTCCTGAATGGGAAAAATGGTTTCGTACAGGAGGTTCAGTACGAAACCTTTACCGAAAAAGTCTAAAAGGTTTCGCACAAAAGGTTCAGTACCAAACCTTTACAGAAAAAAACCAAAAAGGTTTCGTAGAAAAGGTTCCGTGCGAAACCTTTCCAAAATGATGTCCAAAAGGTTTCGTACAAATGGTTTCGTACAAATGGTTTCGTACAAAACCTTCAAAGGTATATTCATCTAATGAGGTAGCCCTTGTAAATGATAATTCGCTTTCGAGTTGAGCCTCTGTGTATAAGGTAGTTGTCCGTGAGA